TCAAGGACAATGTGTCTGGAGGTAACTTTGTTATGGGAGCTGTGGAGACTCTGTTATCGCTCCGGCTCCATTAATTCCAATTCATTTTAGCCGTGTGATAACTAGCAGCGTCTACTTGTCTGTGCTCTCACAAATCAGTGAGCTGTGTTTCCAGATAAAGAGTGAAGTCTGCTGTGGGAGGCTTCTCTTTCCCCTGTCTGTTCTCATGAATTCAGTGTGAGCACAATTGTGTTCCTTATACTCCTCTGTGAAGGCAGTCCATATTGGCAATCATAAATGAAATAGGGAAATATGTTAGATCTTTATTTTCCTCTCACGGTGGAATTGGGAGGGTTTATATCAGCCTTATGGTTGTACGACAGCTGAGGTGTTTCTTACTGAGTGAGGCAAAAAGTATTTGCAGCCAGACATCATTCCCAGCCATGTCTGGCTGCAAATATTTTGTACAATGTTCCCCTTAATCCCTTCATATTTTTCACAGTTTATGTGAAAAGTAAGCAAAAGGCAATGTATTTTATTGAGATTTGTTTTTCACTGGAAGAAGGGAAATGTTTAACAATGCTTTATTACAAAGGAAAATGTGGCAATGTGGAACACTATTGTATAAAATACAGACACCAATATATAAAATTCTGTGCATACACTTGCACTATATCCATTGTGAAGCTGGCTGGTGGCAGTTTCATTCCATGGGGATAACAGGGACAGGGATGCTGGTCAGAGCTGATGGAAAGATTTATGGAGCTACGTCAGAGGGCAAAACTGTAAGAAAACCTGTAGATGCTGCAAGACTTTAGACTGTGGACGAGGTTCACCTCCCAGCAGGACAACACCCTGAAACAATTGCAATTGCCACCAGAACCGCAAAATAATCAAAACATTAATTTGTTGGAATAGTTCAGTCAAACCTGAGAACTAAATTTGACTGAGAATCCAGGATACTTGAAAACTGATGTTCACATCAAATCCTGAAATCCAGCCATTTTTCATGATAAGAATAAAAAAAAAAATCAGCCTCTAAATATGAGCAAAGCTGGTTGAGACACGCCCCGCACTCTGCTAAAATGTGTTTCTACAAACCCTTGACAAAAAAAAACAGTGAAGTACAAATCCAGGTCCATATTTTTCTGATTTTTTTATTAACCTGTAAAACATAGACTGTTTTCTTTTTCACTTGACTGTTTTGTGTGTAGTGTCCTTCAGTATAAAAAAATAAGACCTATTTCTGTTTGTTGTTGCAACATGACAAAAACTGAACACATTCAAGGGATATGCATATTTTTATAAGCAAGTGCAGGTATCCATAGTGTTAATGAAGAGGATTTTCTTTTTAATACTTGTGTATTGTGGATTACAGATTGTAATAGTCTAAAAATAGCTGTGTGGTGTCTGGAGATATAGCCAGCTGAACCCTCTCATATATGTGAACTCTTTAGCACATTTCTGTTTTCCTTTTGTTTATTCATCATCTATTGTTTCTTTTGAAACAATCACTACTGTCCCTCTAGCTCTGCACTCTTTATATCAAATCCGATTGTCACGACAAGATCTTTTTTTTTTTCCATTATCTTGTTAATATGAGTTCCCTTTTTCTAAAAGGCGAGAAAAGGAAAAAAAAAAAAAAGATATAACATTTTCAAGGACAAAGGAGGAGTTTGTGTTGTGGGGAGGCAGAACAGTTTAGTTTCTCACACTTGGAGGGAGCTCACTCCAAAAAGGGTTTTATAGGATCAAGTATGGTTACTATGTAGAAAACATTCAGTATAAATTTGTCATTAACACCGTCACTGCTTTAAATTATAAATTATTCTTGCCTTCAACTGTTGAATGGATGGTTCATCTCCTAGTCGGTTAGGCGTGTAAGGCAAGAAGCATGAATTTCCATGCAAGAAGAGTCACCTTGCCTGCCATCACACCTCTATGTCTACAGAAGCGGGTAAGAATCAAGCAGGGACTTCCTGTTTTCTCTGATATTGCCATAACAGTAAAGTTTTTCCCACTGTTTTCTTCTGAATTGCTGACGTCAATTTCTGTTTCAGATTTAGATTTACATTCAAAAAGTGTCACATGAAGTCCATTTTCAGAAAACTTTTATTGGCCTATCCGTGTTGTCTTCATCTCATAATTTGCTTACATTCTATTCAAAACTCAATGAGTTATTTTAGCTTCTCGGTTTTCTGTTAGTCCTTTTGAATGCAGTTTTTCCATAAAACATTTTCCGATTCCACCAGTCAGTCAGTCAGTCAGTTACACTTTCAGATGCGTCTGAAAGACTTGGAAGTCTCTGTCTTGTTAGACTGCTTCAACTGGAACATGAGCACACCTTGTGCTTTGCTTAAAGGCTCATAATTATCTTTGGGTGTTGCAACAATACTGATTTTAGGGTTCATTTAAAAATGTGTCATCTCTTCTTCCTTCCTACTTGCTTTTAAAGACTGTTGAATTTGCCTGTTTACATCAACATTTTGATGTTATATAATAAGCCTTAATGCGGAATATTATCCTAATGTTATACATGAAAACAGCTTTTATTCAACTCTCAAAACTCATGATTTCTTCCAGCAGTCACTTTGATATGCAAAGCTGCAACTGACCTTAAAGCTTGCTCATCAGTCGTGCTTGATAACGTTTGTCGTTTTTCTTTAATTTATCTTCTGTTGCACACTGATTATGTCTTTCTAGCTATTGCTTTCCAGAAACTTGTGGCAGAGAGGGCAGGCTTGCCATAAGCAGCTGGTTGTACAACTGTTTGTAGCGGTTAGAAGCAGCACCTGGTCTGGAAGCCCTGCAGGAATCTGAAACCATCAGTTTTTCCAGTGTTATGACATGACTGGGGAGAAGTGGGAGGATAATTCAGATGGTTGTCTTAGTCCAGGCAGGAGGCCAGCTCCTCACCCTCTCACCGCTCAGTGACAGAGCCACAGATGTGGGAGTGCGCTTCAAGGTTCAACCCTAGGAGGCTAATTGGCAAAATGGCACACGCTGTACTGCCCTTGAGATAAGAAGGTCTAATAGAGGAGTTTGTGTTCAATGAGACTATATTTAGTGCTGTATGGTAAGTTTCTGGATATACTCCGACTTGTCTGGCTGTCTTTACGGCACGTAATGTACCGATGCCTTGCCCCAAGTTTCACCCATCACCTTGGCAAGACACTTTTTCAGATCAGCACTTTAGACAAACTTATTTTATTTCACAATTTTTCTGGGCCTCTATTGTTTTTTTTTTGTTTTGTTTTTGTTTTTTTACTGATAAAAATAAATAAATCCTATGTGACCTCAATCAGAAAAGCTGCAAACTGATTTATTTTTTTTTTTTTTACTGTTTTTTTTTTCAATAAAGGCCTGATTTTTGGAGTGCAAAACTAATCATTTTTCAGTCAACAAATTCTTCCACATGGGCCAAGGATCTCTGCAGCTCCTCCAGAGTTACCATAAGCCCCTTGGCTGCTTGTCTTATATATCCTCTAGCTAGCCAGTAGGTTTATTGTTGTGCCATAATCTTTTCCATTTTCATATAATAGATAAAAAAGACCTCCGAGAGACATTCAAAGCTTGGGGTATTGCTTTAAATTTCTCAGCAACTTTCTCCCTGACCTCTCTGCTGTGTTCCTTGGTCTTCTCTATGTTCTCTAGCAAACCTCCAAGGTCTTCACAGAACAGCTGGATTTGCAATGAGATTAAATTACACACAGGTAAATGGTCTACCGCATGAAATGTCAATAAAATACATTGACATTTGTGATTATATTGTGACAAGGTGAAGAAGTTTGAGAGGTGTGAATGCATTTGCAATGCAGAATAATGCATACCTGTTCTTTTCAGAAATCGCGGCTTTGAAATTGAACAAAAGTACACATCACAACATCCTTTAATGTACACTTCATTTTATTGTTGCACATTTGTAATTCTTATTTAAAAGTTTTCTCAATATATCTCAAAAACGTTGGTATCCATGAAGACCCCTAGGTTCACAGTGCCAGTTTAGGCTGTGATATGCTGCTTCTCTTGTCTGCTCCTTATATGTCTGGACATGTGAATCTGTTGTAGTTTTTATCCACCTGTATGATTGGTTATGAATGGAACTTTTGTTACCGCGTCGTGCAATGTTGACTATATTAACACTGAATGGTAGGGTTTTTTTATTAAGTGCAGCAGTTTGCTTTACTTGGTATCTATTGCTGAACTCTAAATGAACTGATTGAAGACTTAAGGGTTTCCATAAAAAAGGTCATGTTATTGTTGGAAGCATTGCCTCCTGAGATTTTTGGACTCAGTTTGTTTGCAAATGCTCTTTCAGTTTTTGTGAGCCTTCAAGAAATATTATCACAGGTGCTTGAATGTTATTTTAAAAAGATTTAAGCCATAGACCTTTATTGGGTCTATGGCTTAGACCAACGAGGCCTAAGCCATAGACCTCTGTTTCCGGAGGAGAGAGGATGCAGGTGTTTCAGTAGGGCGCCCCAATGATGCATATATCTGGAGCTGGGAAAGCACAGTGCTAACAGGGTGTTTTGTCATGCAGCTTTCTAGTTTTGCTGCAGCACAGAGGGAAACACTGAGATGGGGCAAACTCAGTGGGAACCAGCAGACACTTGCTGTGAAGTTTGATATGTGCTTTTATGTTGTGAACCAAAGGGAAAAACAACTTTGCAATTCTGTGGACTGAGTTGTAGTTTGTGGTTTTAAAGCTTGCCCAGTCACAGCATGATGCCCCACTCCGAACAGAGGGGGAGCAGATTGATTAATTCATTTTTTATTTTTTTAAAGAAGTTTCTCCATGTTATTGTCCACTCTTCGCATCCTCATATTTGCACAACATACTTTGTGTGTTGTGTTATGCTTTATGAAACAAATATCAAGCTGATGAGGCGGAGAGTGTATTACTTTCAATGTCAGATCAGTTTTAAAAACACTTCATTTAGATTACCTTGAGGCCTATTTCTTAAGTGAAGAATGATCTCAGTTGCCGCATGTTTGGAATGGTTCTTATTTTCTTTCAGGTGATAAAAGTGTTTGATGAAAACAACACCAGCAAGGCTGTAGAGGTGCCCACTGATGTCACTGCCAGGGACATATGCCAGCTGTTTGTCCTGAAGAATCACTGCATTGATGACCACAGCTGGGCTCTTATTGACCACCACATCCAGCTAGGAATAGGTAAGATATTTTTTGCCTCCTTGATTATCTGGCTGGGCATATTCCAATCTGAGAGTACCATCAGTTATAAGGAACTGACATGGTCCCTAATATATTTTGATTAATTCTTTTATTTTTATATCACTGTAGCCCCACTGTTAATTACAGTTAATTGCCAGTAATATAGAATTTAGAGACATAAAATGTTTATTTTAGTTTAATTATTTAATATGCATGTCAGTAATTGCTGTTTTTTTAAACCAATCTACTTTGAATTGTGTTTAATGTGCACATTATTATTATTATTATTATTATTATTATTATTATTATTATTATTATTATTATTATTATTATTATTATTATTATTATTATTATTATTATTTTGCAATTTGATGCTTCCTGTCCAAAGCACATTGTCTGACAACATAATGAGAAAAACAGAATTCTGCTAAACATCATTTCTCTTATATTCTGGGACACTGGGTGGAGATGGTAAATACAGCTGAAACCAGATGTTGCGCTGTAGGTTTCCTGTTTTAACCCAGTTAGGATTGACACAGTTATTTAGACCTTCTAAATTATGAGATACAAATTATTGTAGTTTTTTAATCACTTCCTTAACAGTCAAAACTTTATTTGCTATTAAATTGCTATTAAACGTCATGATTTAGATCAAACATTTTGAGTATAATTCTTGAGTGTCACCTTTAGTGCACTACATTCCAACAGTAAATGCCCAGATATTGTGGGTAAAGTAACATGAGACATAAACAGAGGCTGTCTTTCAGCATCAGCAAGCCATTCTGTAAATCCAGCAGAACAAACAGCTTTGTCTTGTCAGGAAGTGGGTGGAGCTTCACTTGGGTTGCCAGGTGAGGGGCGGGGCTTCGCTTGGCGTTAAGGTGACAAAAATCTGACGGAACAATTTAGAGGTTTTTGAAACAGGTCGTTTTGCAGACAGTAGCAGAACATTTACTTATTTCCAAAAATGTTTTATTTTTTGCTCTTGGATTGTTTATAGAAAGAGATACCAAAGTGAAAGAATATAAATATGCAAAATGTGACTTTTGCATAATAATGTAGATTTTGGTTTGATAACACACCTGTTTCCCTGTAACTGGTCACTCACTTGTTAAAACCTTTCATTCATTAAGCTTTCATTCATGTTCTCCCGCTGTGTTTTCTCCAGAAAGGACCATAGAAGATCATGAATGTGTTATGGACGTGCTATCAGGCAATGGGATGGAGACAGACAGTCGGCTGTATTTTAGAAAGAATTATGCTAAATATGAATTCTTTAAGAAACCGCTGGTGAGTTTGCCACAAAATTCTACTGCGTGTAAAGTAATCAGACCAGTGGTGGTTCTTGCATGAATGGTGTCCTGGACAAGTCTATTATCTAAATCATCTAAAATCAGGCACGGGATATCGTGCAGTGAAGTCTCACACAAAGCACATAAAATAGTTCCCCATTTCCCTCCAGCAAGCAGAGAGCACACTCTCCCCATTGAGAGATAAAATCAATAGCAACTTTGTTTAAAGCCTAGTAAGGACAAGACAGTTATATTTTTCTTTCTGGTGCTTGTTCCTCCCTGGGAAATGTCCCATATGGCCCACATCAAAATCTGCCACTGGATCACACACATCTTGCAATTGTTTAAAAGATGAATTAATGTTAAACAAATTTTGCTAAATTTTGTAGGACTTTTTCCCAGATCATATGGTTTCCATATCAACAGAAACTAATGGCATTGTGGATCACTCCGAGCTTATTGAGGTATGGAGGTTTTTGATTTTGAGAGCCAATGGTATGAAATAAAACCTGTGAATGGTCAACTATTTCCCCATGTCTCCCAAACAGATCTTCCTCAAATCCAGCACTTGTCCTGAGATCCATGGCCACCTTCATGTCAAAGAGCAAAGCAAGAAGTCCTGGAAGAAGTTTTATTTTGTTTTACGGAGGTCAGGGCTTTATTTCTCCACCAAGGCAACTTCTAAGGTTAGTAAAACAAACATTCAACAAATAATTAAACAACGTTTTTGAGTATTTTATTGATATAATTTCAGTTTACAATTTTAGAAATATACGTCTGCTGTATTTTCAAAATAATTAATGTTGCATTATCTAGGGTTGATGCAGTTTGTCCTCAGAGGGGGGTCTAAATGCATAGAACCAATTGAAAAACTCTTTTAAAATCAGTAAAATCAGTTCATGATCAGTTCATCCTCTGCATGTGCACCAAAGGTGTTATAAAAAGGCACTGGAGCAGGTTGAGCTTGGTTTTCCTGAGCCCAGCCGCAGTGGAAACCATGCTCTGTGCTGCTGACAAGTGAAGCTTATACCTGGTCTGCAGCCATGCCAGCACACCCACTTTTCAACTGCTTTGCTTTCATTTCTTACAACAGTAGGTCTTTTGTTGTTAAAGTACAGGTAGGTTTGGTATGGCGCCCGCTTTTCGTCCTGCATGTTTACAATCCATCTGGTGTCTTGGTCAAACACTTTGCTAGTCAGTCAGCACAGACATTAATGGCTGAAGCATTACTTTAAATAAGGAAGTGGGAACAGTGTGTCACATGAAAGCAGAACAATGAACGTCTTTCAGTTTTTTTTTTTTTTTTTTACTCAGAGTTATCTTTGACACAGTGTAGCTATTGATGCTGTCTCTATGTCTAAATGCATGCTTATCTCTTTCATTAAATATTTTGATTTTTCAGATGGAAATTCAGTTTCAAATATCATGCTCCACTACTGAGTTCTTATATTTTCTCATTTTCATGCTAATTTAATTGGCAGTACTGTCTATTTTGACATTATCGAAATATTTTAAAGAAACCATAATCTTTTTTTAGGAAAATACATATCCTTTTGCTTTCTCATATATTTTCTATTAATCATTGTCACATAAAATGAAATAACAACCATTACCATTGGCATGTACATGTATATTGAGCAGAAATATGTCTTATCCGATAAAGATGTTTATACCTCCAGAACTTTCCAGTAATTTTAAATGTACTTTGTTGGGTTTTAATGTGACAGACGTGTAATTGTTATATGGATGGAAAATGACAAATGCTTTTTCAATTCTTTTTTAAATAACAACACAAATCTCTGTGTTTGCATTTGTCATCACCCACGTTCAGTGTGATACACCTAAATAAAATCCACAGCAACCAACTGCAACTTGTGCCTAATATGAACAATTTTGGTGTATAAGGCATGTTTCTCTAAGTCTCTGTGTAACTTTAGAGTAACAGTTTTAATGATGGGCATTTTTTTTTCTTCTTCTTTCTTTTTTTTTATATTTCCATTTAAGCTCCTAACTACAGCAGTCTTTGCCGTATTTTCACAAGAAGCTCTGTTTGATGTACAGGAACCAAGGCATCTCCAGTTCTTTGCTGATTTCGCCGACAGTGACATCTACACTGTTGTATCAGCCAAAAAAGCGCATGGAGCACCAACAGAGTTCGCTTTCTGTGTCAAGGTAGGGAGAGCTTCTTTTACTTCACGACGTTTGAACTTGTTTTGAAGAGAGAAGAGAACTATCAAAGCTTTCGGGTTTCCAACACACATTGTATTTCAATATCGTGTCTGCTTGTTACGTCTCACTGCAGGCTACAAAGTGCAGTTCGTCTCGTGATTTGAAACTGCTTTGTGCGGATGATGAGCAGACCAAGACCTGCTGGATCACAGCCATGCGCTTGTTAAAGGTTGGCTTGCTGATGAATAACTGCGGCTGATATGTAGGAAGAGGAATGCTGAGTCAGTGCTAGAATCAGATTTAGCTTTGGAAAGAGGTCAGGGGAAACTATCGAGTGATGCTGGATTAGCATTCCCGCTCTTGATAGAGGCAGCATGTGTTCATTGTCTGGATATCTGATGGAGCAGTGGGTCCATCACACTCCTCCATAAATAAAATTGAGTGTAGCATAAAATATGAATTTCAGTGGATAATCTTTTTTTCTCTCGTCTTCACAACAAATAAATAAGGTTTAAAAATTAAATGCAATGCAGTGTCTGGGTTCAAATTAATCATTTTAACCTTCTTCATCTTTCAGTTTGGGATGCAACTTTACCAAAACTTCATTCAGCCTCATCAGAAGCAAAAAGTCTCATCCATGGTAAGCTGAAGTTGTAAAGTTGTCTGTAATAATGGGAGCTGAAGTTGTTTGCGTAGTGTTTCGGTGCTAGTTAGATTGTTGTAAATTTGTTTATAAAGTTCTATTCCTGAATGTCAGCCACGGTTCCATAGAGCTATAAAAATTATATGTTTACTGAGAACATTTTTGACGTCTTCCAACATTTTCTCTCTTCCGTAAAAACTATAATACTATGATTTCTTTGTGAGAGAATACTTGGCTAGAAAGAAGTAGTGGAACATTATAAAAGCAAACACGAGTGTAAAGCAGACTAATAAACTTGAACCATGAGACAAAGTTCTATGAATTGCTGCACGTTTTTTTTCTTATTGAGTGGTTTTTAATGCGGTGCTATAAACTTAATATATGTCAGTGTTCTTCTTTTAGCCTCTGTTAAAATAAATCAGTCAATGAAGCCTTAAAAACAATGTAAATACATAAAAAAAATGCAACAGTGATATAATTCTGTAGGACAAATAACTCACCTTCAGTGTTTCAATGTGGACTTCATGTCCCAGAATAGCCTCAAACTTTACTGAGGCAGCAAACAGGATCTATTTATGGGTTATGTGCATGTTCGCAAGCTGCCAGCCTTCTAAAAATACATAATTATCAGCTGCTCTCACATTTGACAGCTCATCCCTTCTTCTTCTTTTCCTGCTGTCATGGGGTCGAATGCTCCCTGGCAGACATAGCCAGGAGGATTTGCTAGAAAGATTGGAAAGTATGTGAATCAGCTCGATGCCAAGCTGGGTAATTAAATTTTATGTATAGATAACATGATATGTTTCAGCAGAATTGCTGCCATTTATAAATGACAGTTGAGCTGATGAGTGTTTACGGCATGTGATGTGGGTCAGAAAGGATAAACAGCAGTAAAAAAAAAAAAAAAATGTTTAAGAGCACTCATTTTAATTGCAGAGCTTAGTTGGTGGAACGGCAATAAGTGTTGCAATTTGAAAGCTTTGAGGTAATCCTCATAAGAAGAATTTTCTTGACTGTGTGTGTAGTTTAGAGCCACTCACTCTATGACAGCTTAAAAGAGTAAAATGTGCCCATGTGTCATTCTTTCCAAAGCCACTCTAATCCCTTTTCAATAGGGCTTTCTGTCTGGAATTATCTAGAAATGATGAGGATGGAGTCACATTACACAGACACTAGGTGGCAGTGCAATCCCACATGGCAGCAAGTCTTTAAATCTTCCGTAACCTATAAAAGGGACTCAATTAAAAACAACCTGCATTTTATTTCTGTGATTTAGATTTTCACTTGCTTGAACTAATGTGTCTTTTATGGTTTAATTGCAGTGCCTAAAACAATATATAATTTCTTTACCATTTCAGAGAAGCATCTCTGAGAACTCGCTGGTGGCCATGGACTTTTCTGGCCAAAAGACACGAGTGATCGAGAACCCGTCTGAAGCTCTGTCTGTGGCTGTGGAGGAAGGCCTGTCATGGAGGGTGAGTCAAGGATTTCTCAACAAATGTCTCACTCTATACAAAGAGAGACCGGCTTCACGTCAGCGTTGTTTATTTTACATTATTTTTTTTTTCTCTCATGTAAAAGGGAGTAAATGAGAGACAAACCTACAAAACAATTTATGGTTTTTACTTTTTATCCAAAATATTTTATAAGTGTGGCATGCCTTCTATGTAATGTATGAAAATGTATAATCTGGTCTAAATGGAGTTCAGTGCAACTAACTGCAGAAGTTACCTTATTAGTGAATAGAGTCTACCACTGTGTATTTTATTCTCAGTTAAAATCCAACTGTTCTCTGAAGGACTCAGACGTTTGTTAGAGAGCATAAGTGAACAAACAGCATCAGGAAGATCATGGAAGTCAGCAAAGAGGTCAGGAAAAAAGCTGTGCAAAACTAGAAAAATACGTTGTGGACAATTTAAAAGCAGGTCAGGTTATCTGAAAGTTTACAAAATTTCAAAGAGCAATTTATAGTTTGAAAATGAAAAAAAATGAATAAATAAAATAAAATAAATAAATGCATCTGTAAGCCTTCCAAGACATAGTTTTACATTTTAACTGAGAAGCTGAACAAGGCATTAATCTGAGAAACAACCAAGAGGCCCTAGGTTACTCTGGAGGAGCTGCAGAAATTCACAGATCAACTGTGAGAATCTGTTGTCAGGGAAACTAGTAATACTAAGCCCTTCTGATCTGGGCCCCGTGAAAGAGCTGCAGGAACAAAGCAAGAGGGAGTCCAGTTTGCAGTTTGCCATCTGTCACATGGGGAAAAGCAAACATGTGAAGGAGCTCAGATACAATGAAATCAAAATTTGAATATTTGGCCTGTATGCAAAACACTGTTGATACTGTCAATATAATCTGACTGAGCTTGACTTAATTTGCAAAATAAAAAAGGCAGAGCTTTCAAACGTGCAAAGCCGGTTGAGAAATATTAAAATCCATGCATCATTTTCTTCCTGCATCGAAATTATGTGCTGCTTTATGTGAAGAGCGGTTTGAGATTTGAGTTGTCAAAATAATTGGAAAGTGCTATAAAAGTTCAGTCCATTTACCATTTACCATTAGTCTAGCACATAAAATCTCAATAAAATAAAATGAAGTCAGTAGTTGCAATGTGACAACATGTACAAAGACTGGAGTATGAATAAGTCTGCAAGGCACTAATTGAAAGCTTCTCACAAAGCAATGAAGACGATTAAAGAGAAAACAGGTTAACCGAATATTAACATTATTATATATCATTATATATGTTATATTATGACAATCACTCATGTCTCCCTCAGAAGAAAAGCTGCCACCGTTTGAGTGGTCACGGGAGCCCCTCCTCCACACAGAGCTCAGTTCCAAACCTAGGTATGTGAGATACGTCTCTGTCTGCTTCACGTATGTACACACGTAACAAAACAGCTAACTCCCAGTCTTTGTGCTGCAGCAATCCACTTGGCTCAGCCGTGGTTCCATGGAAAGCTGTCTCGGGAAGAAGCTCAGCATTTAATTACCCAGCAGGGTCTTATTGATGGGTAAGTTGTTAATTCTCTTTTAGCATATTGTCTCGCTTAAGACAATTGGGATTTTGCAAACAGGGTGACCTCTTGCCTCATATCATTTAGAGAGTTTTTCTCTCTTAGCTGATTTGCAAAAGAGCAAGTATAACAACACATTTATAATTGTTTACACTCAGACCAATCGTGTGCAGTTGACAAAAGTGTTATTTACAAATGATGACCATTAAAATGGCTACATTTTTGTGCTGCAGTGTCACAGCTTAACACTTTCCTTTGCTTTTATTTGTCAACACGTCAGTGATATCTTTACCAAGACAACTAAAACAACAATCTTTAATTGACTATATTATGTTTTACTACTCATCTCAATAATTCGTAAATCTTTAAATATCGGTAAGTCTCAGAAGTCATATTTTAACATACATGCTTTGTCTTGAACTACACTAACGGGGTTTCTTCCTGTTCCAGAGTGTTTCTTCTGAGGGACAGCCAAAGCAACCCAAAGACGTTTGTTCTCTCACTCTGCCACATGCAGAAAATCAAACACTTTCAGATTCTACCAGTAAGTACACTCATTTGCATAAGTCTAAGCTAAACTGGAAAACTTTTTTTTTTCTGATTAAAAGGTCGGTCAGATGAGGGTGTTCTTACAAATGCAGAGCAAAATAATTTTATTTGTGGTAATAAATTGCCAAAAAGAGAAAGGAGATACATGTCATAAGATTATTTAACATCTTTATAGTCAGAGCTCAACTCAAAATCAAATTGAATCGCTCTGATTAATGGCACTGATTGTTTTCCAGATCAAATTTGGAATCATAGTATAAAACAAAAACAAACAAACAAACAAACAAAAAAAAAAACAACAATACAGTATAAACTTTACTAGATTTTCCTCCAACTTTTCTGACAGATTGAATTATTTGATGCCTGAACAACAGCAATACAAGCAGTTTCCCTGGATTCACATTGCAGATGTTCCTAGCTGTAGCAGATGGAGACTTGTCATACACCACTTTTGTTTTCCATTTTCAACCAAAACTTCCAAATGTTTGGAGATTCACCTGTGCATTTACTGTAAAGATGATGAATGACGTCTACCCTGCTATTTCACCTGCAGTACAGCTTAATATCATTATTATGTGCATTGGCTTGTTTTCTGTAGTCATCTTACTATCTTTTATTGCAATGACACCAGACAAATCTCCTAGATAAACACGTCTCCTTGACTATTATGCAAGTTGTTGTCAGATATATACCTGCCATCTCCATTTAAATTTAGAGAAGTAAACTAATAGGAGGTGGAAAGACCTGTCTGGGGAAAAAAATAAAAAAATAAAATAAAATAAAGAAAATCATAACTTTAAACCACTTCCATGATTTTATCAACATATAGCTCAAGAAAAAAAAAAGAAAATAAAAGAAAATTCACTTATAAAGACTTAAATAGTCATACTTTAAGCCTGTTAGTCTTACATAGCACTACTTCATGGTAACATCTATGATGTTGTGTCTCATTCATGGGAACACAAGTTAGAAGATGGTTGGTTGTAAGGCTACATTTTATCCAACTAAGTCACAGTTTCCAACAAAATCGGAAAACATATTGAAAAACTAGTGGTGTAGACATATAACCTAATTAAAAATTGTATTTTACAATTAATATGCCATAAATCATCTTAGAATGTATTGTAATAATTTGTTTCAAATGTCCAGAAACCTGTGATAGAGCGAATTGAGGATTTTGGAAATTGCATTTCTTTTCACATAATACAACTTGACTCTAAGTTATGGATCATATCTGGGGCTCCTTGCTCTTTTGGCTCAAAACATGTCCTTGTATGACAATATTGGTAAATTTGAAGTCATTAACATATATTGTTGAATAATCCTAACTAAAGGTTTAGATCGACATGAAAAACAGATGAGAAATGAGCCAAACATGCAAAATAAACTCTACACCAAGGTCAATTTCACTTGTTTTCTATTTGCCACAATTAGCAGAATTTGTATTACATTTGTCTCTGTTTTATGTGCACATATGAATGTGTGTATTTGGTCCATTTTAGGTGGACGATGAAGGGGAGCTGTTCTACAGTTTGGATGACGGTCACACACGATTTACTGATTTGATCCAGTTAGTGGAGTTTTACCAGTTAAACCGTGGGACTCTCCCCTGCAGACTGAAGCATCACTGTATCCAGATCACCCTGTGAAATGGACACTAAAGACTCCCCAATGGGCCCTTTACTCTGGGTTTTGTTGGACAAACACCCTTTTCAATTTTTTTTTATTTTTATTTTTTATTTTTTTGCCTTACAGAAGAACAACGTAGAGACTGTGGTTTTCACAATGTGGAATATTCTCCATCTTTGTTTTTCTCTTTCAGGAAAAGCCAGCTGTCAGATTGGACTGTATGACCATTATAGATTGCAAACAAGATTATTTTTTAACTCAGCTGTCTTTCTACATGTATTGGGAAATCTATTTTTCAAAGCCTAATCATGACGATTTGCTCTAAGAAGTGTGACATTGTGTTACTTCACAATATCAGTGAAACTTTTTTGTAATACCTGGTTTTCTAATGGTGTGCACAAACAATATTGCTGAAGCTCCTTTATACTCTACAACCACAGACTTTATTATATGTTATTGGGATTTTGTCTTTTTGTTCGCGGTATGCCAACATGCATAATAATGAAAGAGAAGTGGTTCTGAAAATGTAATAAAAAAAATAAAAAATCTGAAATTTCTCCCTTTGCAATTACAGCTGCAAATGTTTTGGAAGATGTATCTAATGACTATCATTTTCACAAAATAGCTTGCCCCAGTCAGATTGCATGGAGAGCATTGATATGTTTTAGAGCATTAATATGTTTTAATTTAAACCTTTCCGTTGTAGCTCTGGTAGTAAGTTTAGGGCTGTTATCCTGCCGATGGGTGAATCTCTTGCCTAGTTTTAAGTCTCCTACAAGTTTTCAGTGACCTCATCTGACCACAGCACTTTTCTTCCATTCTTTCACATTTGCTGTGTCTCATATATGTCTTGGGGGGGGGGGACTCCAAATAGTACTTCTTAAGATTTTCCCCTTGCCAATTTTCTGTGAAACCCAGATTTGTGGAACACATGACAAATAGCTGCCCTGGCTTCAGATTATCCCACCTGAGAGGTGGATCTCTCCAATTCCTCCAAAGTTACCACAGGACTCCCACCTATCTCTTCTGATGACTGCACTTTTTACCTGGCCTGCAAGCAGAAGTGGATAACCATGTCGGTTTGTAGTATCGCCACACTCTTTTCATATCTAGATGATGATATGAAAAGATGTGAGACCTCAAAAGCTTTATACCTGATCTGTCTGCTGTTTCTTTGTCTTTCTCATGTTGTTTGTTAACAAATGATTTCAAACAAACCTCTTCAGTTGTTGAATCAAACTGAGCACACGTCAACACTATTTACTAATTAGCTGACTTCTGATCGCTATTGAATGCACCATTTTTCTTAATGGGCACTAGATGGCTGCTGATTACAATTACATGCCACATTAAAAAAAAAAAAAAAAAATAAAAAATCAATTTATGTGCAAAAAAAGGCAGACCTGCAAGAAAACGTTGAGTTATGTGCATCCCAATAAAAATATATTAAAGTCTGTGATTTTTAAAGTAGAAAAAAATTGAAAAAAAGTTAAGGTGAATAATTATTTCGGAAGGCATGGTAAACTTGATTCATTTCAAATAAAGAAGCGTTTGCTTGGATGCATGCAGTTCTGAAAACATCAGTAAGAACACATTTCAGCTGTTAAATAGGGCTATTTTTTCTTGTTTTTGTACCTCTCAGTGTTCAGGATGTTTTTTTGTTTTTGTTTTTTTTTTTTTTTTTAGTTGAGAGAAACTGCCTCTCAAGAAATAGAACAGCGTTTACAGCTTTTACCTTTCAGCCATCGTGAAGAAATTCTGTATATCTGATTCTTATCGCACTAAATTCAAATGTAAGATAAAATGAACCCCTTTGGAGTTTGTTCTTTTTGTTTTCTCACCTGGATTGATTGTAATTAGATCACCACTTAAAGGCAGTGTCAGAAATGTCTTTGTCATGGTTGTTTGTATGCCATTAGCACTGCTGTGTAAAATCAGCATAATTCATTATTATTTTTTTTTAAACAAAACTACATTATTAAAAGAATATATTTCGAGTCACTTTTAAAATAGATGTCTGCGTTTTCTTTTAGCTTCAAAATTTTGCATTCAGATTGATTTTTATCTGTTGCTGTTTGTTGCTCAATTGATATCTGTGGTGTGAGGAGATCTAGCCATTGTAATGTACTAATTTTTTATTTTTTTATTATGTTTTTCCAAATAAGCTGCATTGTTTTTTTTTGGTGATAGGGCCACAACCAGCAATTTTCGGATCGATTTGGAACCTATGCTCAGTTCCACAATTTTCTCACATTTGTCAATAAGCTGCAAGATTACTTATTAATCTGTGCATGGCAATAGTCTCTAACAAAGACATAGCATTACATAGACCATGCAGGGGTTGTCCCATGTCCAGTACCTGTAACCTAAAATAACTTGAAGCTGTTAGAGAAGATTTTATGGTAAATATGCATCCATAGATCTAGATTTAGAGCTAACATCTAAACCAGAGATTTCTCTTGTAGTATTCTTTTTCCCCCATGTTATTTTCACACTATAGTGTAACATGCTGACATGGTTTGACAGCAGGGGGCTGCTGTGGATCGGCTGGTTTTCAGATGGAAGATCAGAAGTTTGATCTTCTGCCATATGTCGAAATGTTGTTGGGTAAAATGTTGAACTCTATCTCAAAATGGGTCTGGTATGCAGCACTGATTATATAAGGTTTAATTTTACTCCAATTTATGCAAGGAGGAGCAATCTGGCTGAAAAAAGTTACAGCAATAGAGAATTTAAATGTTACAAGGAAGAATTGTTTTATAAATGGGAACATTTGATGTGAAGATCCAATACTTGTGTTCTGATGCAGACATTTTGAAAGAAAGACGTGTATTGACTGACTAAACTCAACTCTTGTGACTTGTGATATGTTGTTGTTGTTGCTTTGTCTGACTGGATTTTACCTCTACCACACCCCATAAAAAGGCTATAATTTGTGCAGTATTTCTTTTTAAAGTAACATTTCTTTTAAAACTCGCATATAATAAGATATCTACAATATTTCTATCTAATAAATCTGTTTTACCTTGATTTAATTGATAATGTTTAAGGAGATACAACGACTGCACTGGCTTTGTATCTGTCCTTATGAAGTCTAACTTTTCTCTCAAGCCACCAATCCAACCTTTTTACATTTCATGGGAAAAGCTACCTTTACCTTCATCCACTAGATGGTACCAGAGACATTTTGCTTGCTTGAAACCATAGTAGATATTTAAACATTAATATTTCATGTATTATTTAAGGAATTAATGAATATGGTCTTATTTAAACTTTTTCAGCAACTTAGGGTTCCTGAAAAATTAAAAAAAAAAAGAAACATACTTGCCTCAGGTACTGTAAACTACTCCATAATTGTATATATTCATAGCAATTTAAGAATACTCAAAGAATCTACTTGTTACTGGCATTTCATAGGTCTCTGCGTTATAGCAACCATTTCGGTACAGTAACTTTTACGCTAATGATGGTTAAGATAATGTCAGCTGCTTGCACAGTAATGAATTTGTGGTAATCTCGTAAGAATGGTATTTAGGATTCCACGGGTGAAAGCAAATCCTCATGGATATACACTCCCCACCCAACACAAAATGGAAAAGGATATCTTGTCAATCTCCTCGGTTGTGATATAAACACATTGCCCCTATACCTGCCCTGCTCCACTTCAAGTGCATATTTCGAAACACTTCTCTCATCCAGGGGAGACATGTGCACACAGAGAAGTCTTAAACGCACCCCTGCTTCCGAGGTCTTGTGCTAAATGTTGTTTTGGATGTATTCCTGCCATTGATCGGAGTCTGGCTGCAGGGGGAGAGATGGCAGCTGGGAGAGACTGCGCTTCCTTTAATGAATTCATCCAGCGCAAACGGCCTGTGGATACACAATCTCTCCCAGTAAAGAAATCTTGTCTCCATTCTATCTTGGCCCTCATGGACAACCAGCAGGGTTTGTAACACCTCACACCAGCACAACCATGAAGAATTCACTCCTGCCTGCTCTCGGACTCTTATGACTTCAGGTTCTGTTCTTGAGAGCTGTCAACTTTGCTCTGTTCTTAAATGCCCCTCTTGTTGTATTCCTCTTGAGTGTATTAAATTATCCGCCTTTGCCTTTTCTCGGCCAATGTCTGCATATATCCAGTGAAGTGAAGACCTTGCTGTTTGCTGTGCTTGTGATTCACAAAGAGGCATTATTTGGACGTGGGTTAAAGTCTACGAGGAAATGACAGTGGTTTTGTTGGGAGATGCACTGCGGTGAAGGTTAGTGGGGTATTTTGCTGGGTTTTAGCAGAAACATTTTCCCAAAGGGAGCATGGAAAGCCAGAAGCAAATTTGAGTCATGACCATTCTTAGCCTTATAACAAATTATAAAGGTTTAATTTTCACACAGTGTGAATGAAACAGTTTGCATAAAATACAAATGGGTATGATGGATCAAACTAGCAGACTCTGTATAGTTTACTGAGTTGCATGATGCTCTTTTCTTATCCCTATTACTGGTCATATTGACATTGAAAACCATCATCACTTCTGTAACCCTAACCAGACACAGTAGAACAGTTGTTTCAACAGACATAAAAAAAATATACTTTTAGGAAGTGAACTGGAGAAGGTGTTGTGATGGTTGAAGGAACTCCCAGCAACTTTCAAAAACATTCATTATTGTTAAGTTGAAGGTCAATGAGAC